TCATTGTAAAGTCAGAGAGCTGGAATAATGACCACCAGCATTCGCTTCTAGCCAATCAAATAATAAATGGCCGCCCTTTTTTAGTGCCGAGAGTAGTTAGTCGCTATGTTAACCTCTCATGTTCGGTACCTGCAAGAGTCACAACCACCTTGCAGGGTAGATCTTATCATTACAGTTTTATGGGTAAGGCTCAGAGGAGTTAAGTGACTTCCCCAAGGTCTTTCAGTTAATGAGTGATAGGGCACAAATCCAACCCAGACCCGCCTGACACAAAGCCCAACTTCCTTCCACTATGCTACACCTGCATTTAACTTGGTCAAAACAGCCATGCCTCTGGAAGCTTGAACTCACAGCAATCTCAACAGGACATGGAGCCCTCAGAGGTCTGACTTGCAGAGATTCTGATTCAAGTTAGCACTGGCCCCTTTTCATGTAGCCTTCATATTTTGGTGCATCTAGGTGTTACCATCTTCATTTTGCAGAGATGGAAACTGAAACGTGCAGCTTGGCCATGCCACTTAAGTAGCAGAGCTGGGCTTAAAAGTTGGGGCTTTAGAGTTAACTACTCTGAATTCTGCCTCACTCATTTGGCCACATCACTGAAGAGTTTCACACTGGTTATTATGGGGTAACATTATGATAACTAATGAGACAGTGGCAGTGAACCAGGAAACAAAATTCCAAGGTATTAAAGCGTTACACAAAAGCAAATGGTCTTTATTCAGTAAAGGCTGCGTTAAATATCTCTTAAACAAACAAAAAGAGAAAGAAAGAAAAGAAATACCTTCCAAAGAAGTCATGTTGCTTTCTCTCTATGACATAGAATTGTGAAAAATATTGTTCTTTAAAGGAGAGTGTTGAAGTTTAAGAAAAGCAACACAGTTCTATCAATTACAGAAAAATTATAGTATGTGTAGGGAGGTCATCAAGCAAATTTGCCACTCACCCTTCTCTAAAGACTACCAGAAATTCACCATCATCACAGTGTCTCCACAGCCTTGATACAGAAGTTCAGAAGACAGAATTGATGTGAAAATTCTCATTTTTAGTATTCTGATTTGTTTTTCTTATTGTATTTATTTTCTTAAAATGTGAGAGTGTCGTCATCCTAAGCTATTACTTTATTCCTCTGATTTGGCAGATCATCATACTTAACTCATTGCAGATAGTGAGACAGCCTCTTGTGCCAGAGAGAGAAGAGAGAAGGGCTAGGTTGGGGATGCCTGTGACTTTTCTGCGTCACCTAGTGCCATGTTGGTATCTGTCAACTTCTCCAAATTTAACTCTTCTAAGAAGCCTCCCCTACCCCCACCACACTTGTAGTAGGAAATGTAAGCTAAAAAGGAAGCACCTAAATGCTACTGTCTGTGTGGCTTTGCAGAATAGAAGACTAAATCCCATAGATAAAGTTCAGGGCCACTGCTAGTAAAAGCTGTAAGGTAAACACAATTTGCACCTAAGACTTGTCATCTTCCATTTAGACACTGTCACCTTTTGGGTGCCTAGTACCTATGTGGCATACCGTGGCTGTCCCCAGCACCCTAATTCAGGAATCCACATGAAGTGTCCTATAGGCAACAAGCCATGCTCTGGAAATGTTTGTTGCTACCCCTTACCAAAAATCACTCACACTGGATCTTATTCTCTCAAGTTTAATTGCCTGTCTTCCCCAACTAGAATGAAGGTTCTAGAGGGACCTTTACTTTCTTTACTGGGGGATCCCGAGCATCTAGAATAGGATCTGGCACATGGAACAAAAGAACAAATCCACCTACGTCGTTGTGTCTTTTGCTACTAATGGCTTAAGTCAGAGCTTGCAGAACCCGATATGGCCAACAGGAATGTTCCCTTTGTCCTATAGAGTATTTGAAAAAAAAAAAAAAAATTTTTTTTTTTAAGTTGGGACCATTCATTTAAAATTTTAGCTTCTCTGAAAAAGGTGGAAGATCTGGTAATGGTGTTAAGTGCCTTCCCTCCCTTCCATGCAGCAAGGCCTTCCCATTTTCCTACCACTGCCTCTTGGCTTCCCTATGCTGAGACTGTCAGTTCCAGTATCGAGAAGCAAGGGATAGAATTTTAGAATGTAAGGATTCTTCTGCTTGGCCTACAGTTGCCTTATATGCTGCTGACACTAGAATTTGAGTTTGTGACTCCAATCTTTAAACATTTTCCTTCCAGTAATGTCTTTTTGTTTGGCTTAGAGCACTTTGAAGACTGAAAATGTCACACGTTTTGATGGAACAAATATTTTAGGCTGGTAGAGCTTCCACGTCACACCATGGAAGTGTCTGCCTTTTCTATCTGTAATAGGCCCTTTGCTTAGGGAAAAATTAAGATCTCTAGGTTCTTCTCATTTTCTTGAAGGTTCTCTCCTCCTAAGCCCTCAGTTCTGTGGTATGCATTGGGCCTCTTGGTAACACCTCTTTTTACATTTTGGATGCTGCTTTTTTCCCAAATAACCGTATTTAGAGAGCTATTCCAAAATCTTATTGAATGGTTAATTCCTTGTGGAAACGGTATTTCTCGTCAGTGAATTTATATGCAAAGACAGCTTGCCTACAGTCTACTTCCTGCCTGGAAGTAGCCAGTTAGAAACCACCTGGAGAGGGAGAACAGCAAAGGTGCTCCAGGAAGATCACTCAAGCCTCAAAGGAATTTTTCCTTGTGTTTGGCCATGCACATAATTAAGAATCACTGGCTAAGAACAAACTACTTGTTTGTTTCCCATTTTGGAGGACTTGTCTTTTAGGAGAGACTTGGTCTCTTCTTTCTGTCTGACTGGCTAAGAAGGAGACTAATTCATGGAGACCCCTACTAGGAGGATGGGGGAAATCATACTTCAAAAGATGATCAAAACTATGATTTTACCTAAAGTGGTATCATTATCAAAACAGAATTATTTTAATATAAAAAAGTCATTTTTGTTCATTGACATTTACAGGTCTTGGAGGTAATAGTATACAACTTCAGCCTGACATTCTTGTTTAGTCTATATTTGTATTCTAAATATCAAGTTTTATGTTTAGGAAACCTAGTATCTTTCTTTCTAAACAACATTTGTCCAATATATGTATTTTTCAACTAAAATAAGTTATTTTATAGGCACTCTTCCCGTGTTTAAGGCTCAGCAGAAAACAAGCCAGATGAAGTTGCTTCTCTCCTTGAGCTTGCATGCAATGGTCATATAATAAATGCATGAGAAAACAAATAGTCTACCAGGTAGATAGAGGCTGAGCAGCAAAAAAGATAACACGTAGAGATTCAGAGAGTTGGGGGAGAGGACAGGGATGTGTAGCAATGGTCAGAGAGGGTGATATCTGAGCTGAAACCTGAAAACAGGAAGGGAGCCAGTCATGCACAGACAGTGGGCAGGGTGCAGCAAGTGCAGAAGACCCCCCCAGTGCGCGTGCTCAATGTGCTCAAGTATCAGTAAGTCGGCAGAAAGGCTGGAAAGGAAGTAGCATGAGAGAGAGGAAGTGATGTCACAGAGGAGCCAGGGAGCAGACCCGCAGGGCCTCAGGGGATATTTGAAGATGTCAGCAGTTATGTCAAGGGCGACGACAAGCCTTTGGAAGGTTTTGAGCAGGGGAGTAACTTCATAAAATTGACTTTTTAAAATCAGTGATGAAGTTAATGATGATGATGTGGTATTAATAATACCTTTCATGCCATTCATTGATCATATATTGTGTACCAAGCCCGTGATGTGTCTTATGTCATTTAATCTTTGTAACGGTTGCATGATGGTAGTCGCTGTGGCTGTTCTTATAGGGCAGATGAGTCAATAACTAGGCAGGTGGTCATGAATAACTTGACCACAGTCACGCAGGCCATACATGGCAGAGCTAAGCTTAGCAAAATACTGGTATTTGAAAATCCTTTAATATGGGGTGCCTCGGTGACTCAGTCAGTCAAGCGTTTGCCTTTGGCTCAGGTTATGATCCCAGCGTCCCAGGATCAAGTCCCACATCAGGCTCCTTCCTCAGCAGGAACCCTACTTCTCTGTCTCCCTCTGCCCCTCCCCGCTGCTTATGCTTGCTCTCTCTCTCTCTCTCAAATAAATAAATAAATCTTTTTTAAAAATCCCTTAATATCTTTCATGAAGTTTCATGTCATAGGCCGTGGTAGATATGACTGACTTTCTTTTCCTGTTCACTTGATATCATTGTAGCCCTAAATGAAAGGAACCTTAAGCCTTATATAGATAATGACTTGCCTATTTTTCTAGACATTTTTAAAGTGAAGAAGTGTTATTATCATGTATAATAGTCTTATTTTCTGATTAGAGAGAATGATATGTAAAAGCACCACCTAAAAATGAAACCTCCTAAATAAATATCGTTCCTACAGAACACTGGTTCTTAATCTATAAATTCAGAGCTGTAGCACAGTATCATGGATTTCCTTAGTAGTCTTAAGTATTTTTTTGTCTAAGGCATTTAAAAACAGTATTCTGAGAAAGGAGACCATAGGCTTCCCCAGACTGCCAAAGGAGCCTCTGTGTGTAGAGACAGTGTGTGCAAGGGTTCCAGTGAATTTGTTTGAACCTGAGCAGAACCTCTGTAAAAGGTTCTGGGTTTCTGATGTTTGGGGTTGGGGGGAGAGTGCCAAGTACATGCCAAAGCTCACCAAGAGGCCAGCTGTAGCTGGGGTGACCACCTGTACCAGTCTGGCCAGGATTGTTCCAATTTATGTTTTTGTCCTGATGTAATTATTAGTTATCACCTTCTTCCACTCTCAAGAGTGTCCCAGTGAGAACAGTAAATTATATGGCCACCATTAGCTCTCACTATTCTCAAGAAAGCGGCGGGGGGCGGGGGGGCGGATGTGGAATATAGCCAGTTGAGAACTCTCTCCATCCAGGGCATCTGGTAGGGGCTGCCAACCCCTGCATTCAGAATTATTTTGACAACACATGGGTGTAACCAAAGTTAGAAGATGACACAAAAGATAGGATGGAAGAACACACCGTTTTAGTAATAATTATTTCTCTTTCACAGCCAAAAAAGAGCATAAGATGGAAGAAAGTCACTTGGAGAACGCACAGAAAAGGTAAGTGGCTCTGACGTGGCCTTAGTCCTTTCTTTGCCTTGCTGTTCCTTTTTATGATTGTTATTATTCAGTGCAGTCACATTGCTCTGCAACCATCACCACCGTCTATCTTCAGAACTAACTCATCTCCAAATGGAACTCTGTACCCATTAAACCAAAACTAGCCTCGTTCTCCTCCCCCACCCCGGCTCCTGGTAACTGTTTTTCTACTTCCTGTCTCTGTGACTTTGACTACTGTAGATATCTTATATAAGTGGAATCAATATAGCATTTTTTTTAAAGATTTTATTTATTTATTTGACAGAGAGAGAGAGAAGTCACAAGTAGGCAGAGAGGCAGGCAGAGAGGGAGGGGAAGGCAGGATCCCTGCTGAGCAGAGACCCTGCTGTGGGGCTTGATCCCAGGATCCTGGGATCATGATCTGAGCTGAAGGCAGAGGCTTTAACCCACTGAGCCACCCAGGCGCCCCAACACAGCACTTTTTTTATTTTATGACTGGTTGATTTTACTTAGCATTCTGTCTGACTAGCCATTCTTTTGGCCCCATTTGTTGAGATCCATGAGCAGTTAGATTCTGTCGGAATCTGAAGGGAAAACTCTATGATGAGACTTGGAAATATTTCTCCTCAGAGAGCACAGAACCATTCAGAAGTGAATGACAAGGATCACGCCATGGCGCGCTCTGCCTCACAACAAATTTCTCTGCTCCTGAGCCACTTTATGGAAGTTAGGAACAATGTGATCCTTCCTAGTATTACAACTAGATTAAACCAATTATTGCAAATGCCTAAGTGACTTATTATGTCTTTCCTCAGATCTGAGAGGATACGGTAAACAGGGGGGACGTGGGGATGAGGGTCTTACCCGTGTATCTAAAAAGAAATTGGAAGAGACCTCAGAATTCTTCTGTCTACCCTCACCCACTTCAGGCCTCTTCTTTGCTCTTCTCTCTCTTATTAGAGAGCAGAATGGAACCATCCAGTTCACCCAGTAATCAGTGGCTCTGGTCTCTGATAAAGGCTTTTATTTTTGTCAGCTGACCAGGTTAGTCAGCTTGGCGATGCCTCCACTCTTAAAAGGGTGAGTGAGAATATACTGAAGCATTCTCATCTTCAGCACAGAGAACACTGATACACAGTGCTGGTGCCAATTCTAGAAGTATTAGAAAACTCAGTGAGACGTAGGGGTAGGAAATAGCCTAGAAGGACAGCGAGCTTTATAGATCTCTGAGGCAAGGAGTTCATTAAATGCAAATGAACAAACTCCAGAAACCAACCATTTCCTCCTGTCTAGCCACAATTTCCAAGAGTTCTGAAAGCCTGTAGACCCTGCTGTCCGCTCTGCTTCGATGGGTGCCAACAGCTTGCCCTGCTTCCAACTACCAATCAAATTCAACTGCAGATGAAAGTGAACTTGAGGCAAATCCTGCATTTTTAAGTGCAGACGTGTTCTTGAGTCAGGATAGATCATCTTTGAAAACCCAAGCAATCAAAACACATGATGATGTTCTTAGATTTTTGTGCCCCATGGTCAGCCTTATCCCTATATTAAGTTTTCCCTTCCTCCTGTGGAAAGCGAATATGTCCATGTTCCAGAAAAATAGTGCGTCCAGAAGAGACCATCCACAAGGACACACTGGTGTCGGGCCAAACAGAAATTTGGCTTTCTAGGGAGGATGTCAACTTTCTAATATTTCTTCAAGATTCTTGCTTAACGAAAAAGGGGGGCCGACCTTTGCGGAGCCAAAGCTGCTGCTGTGCATTAGCTATGCTGAGGGGGCTCATAAATTTTAGTTGTCAGTGTTTTCCGTGACTTTGTGGTGAAGGTAGTGCAGCTTTCATGTCCTACATGAAATATGTTAGATCCCATCTTTAATGTAGAAGCCACAGTTGTTTGCCTGCACTTTTTAAGGAGGCTGGTGGTCAATGTTGCAATATTCATGTGAGATTTAGTAAAGTCTTCTGTTTTGTTCTCAAGAGAAACAATTTACTCTGAGGCCACGGCATGTTTGCTTTTCCTAAGCAGTTTCTAGAGGCGTGCGTGTGAAACCGTAAGGGGACGCGTCCCGCTCTGGCATCTCCACACAGAAAAGTAAAACAGCTCACGTCGCCACAGGCTCTTCGATAGTGTCGTTGTCTGTGCTTTAAAAATATTTAGCTGAATGAAAAAGATAGGAATCAGACAAGGAATTGGCGTGGGGGGGGGGAATAGATCGAAGAAAAGAAGTTTTATGGAACCTAACATATGAATAGAAATCAGTCGTATAAAAGTTGGAAGCTATTTGAGAGTTACCTGCTGAGAAACAGAAATTGCAGAAAGCACGACGGCCCCTTTGTCCGTTGGAGAATGGCTGTTAAGTATCAACAGGTTTCAGGAGGACAGTAGTCTGGACCTTATGAATTAGTTGTAGGCTCATATTCTAGCCCTTTAGCTTCTCCTTGAACAAAGGGATAACTCTGAGTTCAAATAAGGCCCATCTTTGTCAAATTTGCAGAGCGCCAAAGCCAGGCCACCCCCTGGGCCTATGTTTGCTCTGGTTCTTCTGAGTTCACTTGCTTTCTTAGTTTTTAAAACATACCCGAGGCGGGGGCGGGGGGGCTGGCAGGGGAGGGGGCATGCTGAAATTCACTATTTCCTTTAGTCTCTGCCCCGTGGAAGCTTAGCAAGCAGGGCCTCCCAACCCCCCAGGACGAGAGGTGGTGAGGATCCAGGGTTAGCTCCAGTGCAGGCTGGGAAAAGTGGGCCTCTGGGATGCTGACATGCTTTTCTGAAGCTCTGCAATAACGCCCCAAACAACCCTGGCATTTGCAGCATCTGGGTCTCAGGTTCAAGAGTCCAGACACCGCCAGAGGTGCTGGGGTGACCCGTGAGGCACAGTGACCAGAGTACCTGCCCTCTTCACTATATCCTGTTAGGAAGTCCTCTGCTCCTCTGAATACTAAGAGGGAAAGACTCTCTCTTCTCTATTAATGCACAAGCATGTGTGTTTCCGTATTGACCATAAGGAAGAGAAGAAACGATGATGATGGGCTCTACTGGGGGGCATCTGTGTCTAAAGTGGAAACAGAAAGAAAGAAAAAAAAAGGAATAAGACTTTTATTTCTTAAATGCCTGTGTCAATGAGCACGAGCGACAGAAGGGTGGAGTGGATAAACGATTTCACTGAGAATCAGGGGACATGAGTGGTAGGCCCAGCTCTGCCCACGAATAAAGTCATTCAATCTTTCCAGGTCTCTGTTTTCTCATCTCAGAAATGAGAACCTTAGATGACTTGGCCTATAAGTCCCCTCCAGTTCTGAAGCCCCAGGATTCTGTAAGAAATTCACGGCCTGTCCCTGTCGTTTACATAACCCTCTACTGGTGTGTTTCCCCGCCACAGTCAATATAATTTTGCTTGTGAATGAAACAACAGTATATGCCATAGAGCGTACACTTGGTTTTATCAGTATTTTGACCGCCACACAGTTAGGAGTCGCCTGACAGTGCAACTTTCTTCCATTAATGGTTTTGTTCCAAATTATGTATGTTTGGAATTATAAGAGAGTCCCTTAAGGAATTACCGCAGTTATTGCCTTTCTCTGCTTATACACTTCCAGTCTTTTAATAACTGGGAGCCAAAATTCCCTGGCTGGTAGTTTTAATTTGCATTAAGAACAGATTTATTATTTACAGAAGCACAAAGAATTTATGGGACTCAGAGCTGCAGCTCCAGCTTGGATCTCACCTAATCATAGCCATGGAATCAATTAACAGTTCATCTGTGAAATGTGATAAAATCTTATGAGATTCATATTGCCCAATAACGGAGAATGAGATGAAAGTATTCTCCGTAATAGTGACGGGGCTTCGGGGTTTTACAATTGCCATTGAATGGAGCTCCATTAGAAACTCAGGATTCAGGATGGCCACAAAAAAAAAACGCTGTGTCTGAACAGATGATAGAGCACTGAGTAGTAAACGTGGCCAGCCATTCCTGCTTTGATTAGTTTCCAACACCCTAGAAAAAAGGGCCATTTATTTAAGTGTTCTTGCTCCTGGCAAATGAGCTTGGGAGGCTTTAGGTGGGTGGAGGTTGGGGGTGGGGGACTAAGCACAGAGCTATAAATTGCTACAAAGCTAGCCCCTCCAAGAAGGGCTGCTTGGGAGGCCTGAGCCGTGTGTGTGTGCAGTGAGCCTCTCCATGGGGTAGGTCAGGAGATTCTCGGGGCAATGCCTGAGAATCGACTTTGGAAAACCTGGATCCTTTTCTGGCCGGTTCAGAGATTATCTTTCCAGGATCAAAGATGTTTTTGCACCCAAACCTTGCCGTGCCTTCTGTCATACCTCTTTCTATGTATGCATCAGTGGTTTCTATTCGTGTAGTGTATCAAGCTTTAAAATATAACCTTCTCGGAGATCATCTGCTCTAAGTCTCCTGTCTCATTTCACCCTCAAGAAAACAAGAGTCTGATGCTGAGTGATTGACCCAAGATCACAAAGCCAGTGGATGGCAGAATGAGGGTAGAATAGTCTCTTAATTTTCCGTGAAGCGCTCAACAGAGTACTTATTCCCGATGGGCTGTCTAACTGACCACTGCGAAGGCTGCAAAACCGGAATATCATCGTTACATGTCCAGGTAGTCACGATACGTAAAATGAAGAGCTAGTAAATGACGTGAATTTGAGACAAAGGGCAAACTCATAGCTTTACCGGCGTATCCCCCCTAGAATCAGACGTGCTCATGTTCATACATGTAAGGTGTGACCAGGAGTATCACATTGAATTTCCTGGGGAAGTGGTTTAACCAAACAGGTTTTCTGAGGCTCAGGATAAGCCACAGTCACTGTGCGGGCTGGGCTTCTATCTTAGAGAATGAATACGTGGGAAACACCCCCCGTGACCCGGCCCTGACGGTGTGGACAGTTTCTCACCCCCCACCTCACTCTGTATTTTTCCCCCCTACCTGTTGCAGTTTTGAAACGACGGTAGGATATTTTGGGATGAAGCCAAAGTCCGGTGAGAAGGAGATCACACCCAACTATGTGTTTATGGTGTGGTACGAGTTCTGCAGTGACTTCAAGACCATTTGGAAGCGGGAGAGTAAAGCTATATCTAAAGAAAGGTAAGGTTCTGATGGAGTCATCAATACCCGCTTCAGGAGTCCAGGAAACTGCCTTGTCAAACCTCACCAAGGAAGCGCCTTTCACACGCATCAGGGTTTTCTTTCAGATCAAGTGGACACTGAGGAAAGATTATTGCCTGGGGGCTCATGGGGAAATTTGGGGAGGCGCGCTGTCGCACAAGCAGATAGCTCACGTGGTCTGATAAGTTACACTTTCTTAACCCCTTCCAATTACTAGCTAGTAAATGAAAGGGGAGCTGTGCTAATTTGCAACAGATTGCTTCTCTGTGTATTTTCACGTTGGCCCAGGCTAAATGAGGCAGCCTTGCTGTTGCAGACAGTACAGACAAATAAAAGTGAATGCTTTTCCCATTAATATACTGAACTTGCATCAAAAGGAAATCTCAGAGACTCGGGCCACACTTAACACAGTGTTGAAGCCCCGCTCTGGATTTACAGCGCCACTTGTGACTCCTCGTATCCTGCTGAGGACATCAAACTGCTTGCCGCTCAGCCTCATTGCAGCCTCCTGATTTTATTAGTTGTGGGTAGAAGAAAAATCTCCACTCTGAATATAGGGAGAGAGAGAGAGTTCATTCTGCTTAGAACGAGACTAAATTTGGCCCTGCTTATCAGAAAAAAAAAAAAAAACATTTCTGCTTGATCACTGTTTTGATCAGGTCGCCACTGTTCTACAAAGTGTGTCATGCATTTAAACTTCAAAAAGGTCTGGGTGTACTACCGCTGCAGAACAGATGTATGAGAGTGTCATTCAAAGCGGAGGAGAAGGAGACCAAAAAAACTTCTACAAATTAAGGGAAATGGTTTATCCAACGATAGCATCCATAGCTCACTAAACATTGAGACCTGGAATTCCATAATTCAGTATTTTTGTTCTTTACTTGTGATCAGAGAAAAGGCATATACCTAATATGTCTATGTGCATGTACACACATACTATACAGTAATACATTCACCTTAAAAAGCTATTTTTGAAGGGATCCATGTTTAGAGGTTTTTGACCCAGTATTACCAAGTATCTAATTATGATACTCGGGGACTTTTTTCTTAAAAAGCCTGCTTTCCCCCCCCCCCCCAGGACATCAAAGACCTTTAAAAAATGCATATCAGGGGGCCCCAGGTGGCTCAGTGGGTTAAGCCTCTGCCTTCGGCTCAGGTCATGATCTCAGATCCTGGGATCTAGCCCCGCATGGAGCTCTCTGCTCAGCAGGGAGCCTGCCTCTCTCTCTGCCTGCCTCTCTGCCTACTTGTGATCTCTGTCAAATAAATAATAAAATCTTTAAAAAAGAATGCATATCAGCATTTCTCTCCACCACTTCTTCTTTGAAAACATGGGAATTAAAGTGAGTAGATCCATTATATAGATACAGTGAAGCAAAGGAAGAGTTGTGACATTGTTAACGAAATAGATTATTAATAATAATGTGGAGGACGGGTGTCTGGATGGCCCAGTCAGTCAAGTGTCTGCCTTCAGCTCAGGTCTTGTTCCCAGAGTCCTGGGATCGAGCCCCGCATCAGGCTCCCTGCTCAGCGGGGGCCCGCTTCTCCCTCTGCCTGGTGCTCCCCTGCTTGTGCTCTCTCGCTCTCTGTCATAATAAAAAATAAATAAATAAATAAAATCTCTAAAAAATAATAGTGAGGAGGAGGAGAAAAAAACCCTAAAACTTTTGGTACCTGATTTCTTGCTCTTGCCCTGCGGTTGCCTATTTGGCCTTTACATCTATCCTAAGCTCCTGTGGCACAGATTCTGTTCAGTGAGCCCCACAGGAAAGTGATAGAGCCGAGCTCTTGTCCCTCTCACAGGGAAGCAGCTCGCCAGGCAGCTCTCCACGCCCATACCCGAAGGCCAGACAGTCCCTTGGTGCATCCTGCATGGACAGCCTTTGCGTAAGAAGATCTCGTGACTCAGATTTTGAGCATCACCCTTAGTGAATTTGCCCTTCTAGTTGGAGCCCAGAAAAATGGTCCGGGGAAGGCGGGAAGAAAGAGAGGGTAATTAACTGCTTTTCAGTTTAAGAATCTTCTGTTGAAATACTGAACTGTAAACCACATTAAGGAGTTATCCCCCATCATAGAAGTCCGAGCAGACTAACTGTGAGTCTGCCATGGCAGTGGGATCCACTCATCCTTCCTTCAAAGCGCTGTTCCCTGCTGGCCACCAGCCCGTCCAGCGCAGCTTCCTGGGTGCAGCTGGTGAATTGCCTGCTTCACACTCTGTAAACCAACACCTTTCAAAGGTCATGACTTCACAAGACCCTTCTCAGTTCTCCTCATTTAGCAATTTCAGGGGTCTCTCCATTCCAGCCATGCTTTTGAGAGATGGATCACCAAGGTTGCCAACCTAGAAAAACATCTCTGAGGTTAATGACAGCTCATAAAATATTTTTGGAGGCAGTTTGTTTCCAGAAATCTACTTGTTAAGAAACGTTAGCACATTATGTATACGGCTGTGCATCCAGTTAAACAAACTGATTAATATCTGGGGTTTTCTTGTGATGTGAGGTGTTTTGTTTTGTTTTTTTTCATTGTCCTCTACCTGCTAAGGATTTTAGCTTTTAAACTGTTGGAGTCACATGTTCATTATGCTAAAATAAGCAAATTAACTTGAATTCTCCATTATAATTACATGAGAAATAACATGATCGCTTTATTTGGACACGCATTTAATCATGTTCAATATTATTATTTTTTATTATATACTTTTCCAGGAAATCCCAATAAGACTAAATATCAGGAAGTAACATCACATAATACAAAGACATCCTTAAAAAGGAAATTCAAAACCCAATGAAAACCTAATAGCTTGCAAATTACTAGGAAAAAAAGAAAAAGCTATAGTTTGGGATTCCATCAAAACTAATTACACCTATTTGATTTTTAAATATACTTGAAAGCCAATTAAAATCCCAGAAATCATTGGGACAAATTAAGGAGAAATAATGATATTTTCCAAGGTGTAAATTCACTTCCAAATGAAATGGAAGTGTTGAGAACTACTTTAGGCCACTTGAAATCAATTTGTGGTGGTAGAGAATATTTATTTCTTATTCTGCTTAACATGGTTTTCCATCAATACACATTAGCTTAATACAAAATTGAAAGTGACGCTGTTTCTTAACAGGGTGACAGTTCCCCCTCATAAAACCCAGAATAATATCTAAACACACAAATGACTGTCTTATAAAAACATCCCATGTTTTTGTTCCTTAGGAGTGAATGATAAGCTGTAGCATTAAGCTGGTGTCAGAATGCAGTTCTGGTTTTGAGTAGAGGAGACATAGTATTTCACTAGGGATATGATTTACGTGCAGATCAAGTATATCAGTAGAAGAGCAGGATACTATGTGACGGTATATTAATGTCATTAAATTGTCCTTGGCATTTAAGCAAGCATTAGGCAAAATAGCAACTTGTGTATCCAGGAACAAGTCCAGGATGCTCCAGTGCCTGGACCTTCGATCTGTGGCCCACCAGTCCTCATCCTGTCCCAAATACTGGAATTTATCTTTGCCGTGAAGTATACCAGGCCCCTCTTTAACCCCTTCTGATTACAGGCAGTGCTCGGTAGTACAAAAAAGACCTCTAGGTAGAGAGTTGGAAACTAGCATTTTTATGTCAATAATTTGCTATGTGGTCAGTCTCGGGCCAGTTGCTTATTATGTGGGGGGACACAATTGTCACACTGTTAAAAAATGTATTGGGATGATCTCTTCTAGCTAGAAATGTCTGTGATTCTAGAAACTACTTTTCTAATATTCTGAGGGACAGTGTGTTTCATTCCTGAGATAATGGCTCTCACCTTTCTTCTTCAGCTCATTAGGGATTATATAGGAAGACATTTCTGGCCAAGGCCTGGCAGTGAGCTGGGGAGAAATTTGGGAGCAGGGAGAACTTTCCTTGCCCTCTTGGCTGGTCAATGTCTGTAGCCAACTTGCCTTGTGCCCTGAGTTCTTCCCCTACAATAGTAATATTGGTCTTGGAGACACTGTTTGTTTTTTTTTTTTTAAAGTGTGCACACAAAAATGTTTTCCTCTGCTCATGTGTATCTAACATTGCATTTAGTAGTTTACTAAAGTTCATCAAAATTGTTACTCTCAGAGGCAGCCTTGCCTCATTTTACCTTTTCATGTACTTTTGTATTTGTGCTTCTTGATATCCAAACATACAATGAATTTTTGTAGCACATATTTCTTCCACCTATTAAATCAACAGATTATCTAAGCATATGCATAATTACAGGAGGTAAGCTAATTTTTGCTACCTTTATTGATTACTCTTTATTCATTTTCTGCTTTTTCCTTTTGTTTCTTGTTTAATTACTCCAGGATACAAGACTCTTTCTTGCGAAATGTTTCACTACTTAGGATATCTTAAGACTGCTCCTCACACATGCACACAGAGAGACCACAAACCACTAGGACCCACAAAATGAGCTATGAATTTGCAAAAGGTAAAGAAGTCTCAGGGGATTCATGACTCCAGGAATAAAATCCTGGCAAATAATTCACTCTGAGCCAAAGCAAACTTTAAACAAGTGCCATTTTAAAAACCCGTAATGGGTAAGTAATGAGTGAATAAGGAGTTTGGTGAGTTTTATGAAAAAATGCAAATAAGAAATCTCATTACACACATAGCTGTAATTTACACTATGGGGGAATAAATGGTTACTTTCTCATTTTTAGTTTAGCTCAATACCAACAGGGTTTCTGTTCTAAGTATATTACTTGCCACGATTATGGTTAATTATGCAGTTGCCATACTCTTGACAGCAGATAGTTGAGAGCTGTTGTGGGGTTATCCCAAAAGCTGTCCTCACAGCTCTGTACCATTCAGGTCACTTTAGGACCAGGAGTTGGAAACTTAGAGAGGCCGTCACTTAGCCCACAAAGGAGCCATTGATCGCAGTGTAAATGTTGCAGAAATTCCTCTCTTTATATGATAAAGTTTTTCCTGGAAAAAGTTCCACAAACTAAAATTTT